ACCACCACCACCACCACCACCACCACCACCACCACCACTACGCACCGGTCCTGGTCTAGGGCCAACTCTTTGGTGAGGGCATCGAAGAAGCGGGCGCTGTGACTGCGATTCTCCTCGGCTGTGCCCACCACACCAATGGAGGACACCAACAGCTGCGCACAGGGCTCCGTAGAGCCGTTCACGGCCATGGCCAGGCCCGGCCTCACGGTCACGTTCACGCGCTGCAATTGAGGGTCACAAAAGTCCGTATCCCCTTTAGTCGGGGCGTGCAAGGGGCCCTAAGCTGGGGGACGGGCCAGCGTCCACGGAGGACACGTCGGGGTCACAGCCAAGAAGGGTGACCCAGGGCGGGAAGAGGGTGGGGGATGGGGTCCCAGGGCCGGCAGGCGAGGATACAGTGAGGGAGAGAGACATCAATGCCCCTGCCCACCGCCGCTCACCTCCACAGGTTTGCCCAGGATGGCGGCGGTAGCGGCGCAGAGCCGTTTCTCCAATCCCGCGGGCACACGGTCAGCGGGCAGGTTCGTGTCCAGCTCCACGAACGGCATGTCGCCAAGCCCGGCTGAGAAGGAATCTGCAGAACCGCTCTGAGTTCCAGAGGGTCGCGAACAGAAGGCGTGGTGGGGCGCAAAGGAAACCGGGCTCCTCATTGGCTGAGCGACACACCCCCATTGGCCATCACGTGCTCTGGCGCTGATTTCAGGAAGTCCCGTAACTCCGCCCCGCGGTCTCAACCCCACCCCCATTTCCACACACCCCACACACACCCCCATCGCGGATCTAGCAGGCTAATGTAGTCCCTAGCTTCTGGCTTTGTTGTTGTTGTTATGTGCCCTGGAGTTGGTTCCGACTCAGTGACCCTGCACAGGATTTCCGAGGCTGTTAATCTTTACGGGAGCAGAACGCCTCATCTTTCTGGCTTTGGGGCACTAATAATGTCGGGGTACTAATAATGTCCGGTTCCTATTCACCCAACACACACCTACATACTTGTATAGTCCTTTCCCATCACCACAAGGGTTTAGAATACTTTTTCATGCGAAAGTTGGACAATGAATAAGGAAGACTTGACAAGATTTGATGCATTTGAGTTACCGTGTTGGCAACGACTATTGAAAGTACCATGGACTGCCAGAATAACAAATCTGTCTTGGAGGAAGTACAGCTAGAATACCCCTTAGAAGCCAGGATAGTGAGACGTCATCTCTCATTTGGGGCATGTTTTCAGGAGGGACCTTACGCATAACAGAATGAAACACGACCTGGTCCTACACTATCCTCGGAATCTTTGTTATTCTTGAACCCATTGTTGCTGCCACTGTGCCGATCCATCTCATTGGGGGTCTTCCCCTTTCTAGCCAACCCTTCACTTTACCAAGTATGATGTCCTTCTCCAGGGACTGCAAAGTATGAGAGAAAAAGTCTGGCCATCCTGGCTTCTACGGAACATCTGACTGTACTTCTTCCAACACAGATTTGTTTGTTCTTCTGGCAGTCCATGGTACCTTGAATTCTCTTCTCGAACACCGTAACCCAAGTGCATCAACTCTTCTATGGTTTTCCTTATTCAGTGTCCAGCTTTTACATGCATATGAGGCTACTGAAAATACCACAGCTTAGGTCAGGGGCACCTGAGTCCTCAAATTGACATCTTTACTCTTGAGAGGTCTTGTGCAGCAGATTTGCCCAATGCAATATGTTATTTGACTTCTTGACTGCTGCTTCCTTGAGTGTTGATGGCGGACTCAAGCAAAATGAAGTCTTCAACAACTTCAATATTTTCTCCATTTATCATGATGATATTTACTGCTCTATTGATTAAGATTTTTGTTTTCTTTGCAGTAAGGTGCAACCCATACCTAAGGCTGTGGTCTTTGATCTTCATCAATGAGTATTTTAAGACCTCTTCGCTTTCAGCAAGCAAGGTTCTGCATATCTCAGGTTGTTAATGAGTCTTCCTGCCATCTTTATGCCACATTTTTATTCATATAATCCATCTTCTCAGATTATTTATTCAGCAAATAGATTGAATAAATATGATGAAAAAATATAACCCTGATGCACACCTTTCCTAATTTTAAACCATTCAGTGTCCCCTCATTAGCACAATTAAGTATTACAGAATACCCATTCTCCAAAATGTTGTCCATAACTTGTCATAATCCACACAATCAAAGGCCTTTGCGTAGTTAATAAAGCACAGGTAAACATCTGTCTGGTACACTCTGCTTTTAGCCAAGATCCATCTGACATCAACAATGGTATCAACTTATTCCACGTCCTCATCTGAAACTAGCTTGAACTTCTGGCAGTTTCTGTCAATGTACTGTTACAGCCAGTTTTAAATTATCTTTAGCAAAATTTTACTTGCACATGATATTAATGATATTGTCTGGTGATTTCCACATTCCATTGGGTCACCTTTCTTTGGAATGGGCAAAAATATGGATCTCTCCTTCTTCCTAGTCCGTCTTAATCTGGAAGCTCAGCTGAAACCTGTCCACCATGGGTGACCCTGCTGGTATTCAAAATATCAGTGATATGACCAGTGATCATAGCAATATGCAAGATACCATAGTACAACAAACTGACAGACAAGTAGTGGTGGTAAAGTAGAGGATCAGCGAAAAAGAAGGTCCTCAGCAGGATGGATTGATACAGTGGCAGCAACAACGGGCTCAAACATAGCAATGATTATGAGGATGGTACAGGACTGGACAGTATTTGATTCTGATATATACAGGGTTACTAGGAGTCAGAATGACTCAGCACCTAAAATCAACCACCACATTGTACTCTGTATAATTGTGCCTATACAAGGATCCTCCAAGGAAGTAGGTGGGCAAAGACGCTGTCTGTGTTCATGATACTTTCCCATTAGCACTTTATTAGGTGACTCAGATATCAGGGGGCTTGGAAAACAAGACTGGAAGCTAGTGATAGTCCTGAGGAGAGAGGGCGGGAACAGACTGAAAGTCTGGGGCCTAGAGGAGGGCCTGGAGAAGATAGTAGGTATGGTTACAAGTAGGCACAGGACAGAAAATAAGTAGCCTGGGATGTCCCTCCCCACAGGGAGCTTCTAAACCCAGTCTTTTATCCCACCTGTGGGAGGAAAGAGACCTCTGAGACCAAGGATCACTCAAAAACACGGGGAACTGGGTTAGTGGAGGCTTGTATGTTGAATAGAACTTCCAGTCTAAGACAGACTAGAGAAAAAGTCCCAGCAATCTACTTTGGGAAATCAGTCAATAAAAATTCTATGGGTCACAGGGTCTTATCCATTGTGCATGGGGTTCCCATGAAATGCAGGCAAAACTCAAGAGCAGCTAACCACAATGAGGTCACATGGAAGCTGATGTGGAGGGGTGGTGATGGGAGTGGGGAGAAAAGAAAAAACAAACTTGGAGAAAAGTGTGGACAAAAAAACAGGCAGGCGTGTCTTACTCCCAGCCAAGAAGAGCCAGGCAGCCCCATCTTTTTATTGTGACCACATGGACCCTCTACAGGTGGCCTTGCAGACCCAGTCATCACTCACTGCAACAGCACTTGTACCAGGGGTCTCAGCTTCTGCTTTATGGAAGGATCCGCAGGAGGAAGGTCCTTGGCCTTCAGAATGAGAGCGTGGGCCTCCTGGAAGAGCTCCTCCCCCACCTCAGCCTCCACACGCAGGCGCCAGGCATCCAGCTTGGGTCTGCCTTCAAAGATGCGGCAGCCAGCACTGACAGGCTGGGAGGAGAGGGAACAGAGCAGAGGGATTGGATGCAGCCACACAGACAACAGGCCAGCTTCATGGGTTCCCCCAATGAACTTTTTCCACATCTACTATGTGTGAGGGGCCGATGGTCCCCTCTTAGAGGACATTGGGGGAGCTCTTCTATGTCCTTCTGAGGTGGGTGGGGAAGTTCTATTTTACAATTAAGAACACTGAGGCTCAGAGAGGTATAGTGACTTGTGCAGGGTCCCACAGTGAGAAAATTGGGACATCAACTCCCAGCCAGGACACACCACTGCCCTGTGGATACCCACCCACAGCACTCACATGCATCAGCTCCGTAATGGCTACCAAGTCAGCCACGGAGATGTGAGGCCCAGCAAGGAAGGCCTTGTCCTGCAGAAACTTGTCCTGGAGCAACTGCAGACACCTGTCCAGCTTGGCCAGAGTGGCTGCCAGCATCTCAGGGGGCACTGGCTCACCCAGAAACACAGGGAACATCACCTGGTGGATGGGCAGACAGAGTGAGGGGTCAGGTATCTGCCCAGAGCCCAGTGGGGTTCACACCTCATCTGATCCATCAAACCAAGCCTTTGGCCATCTTTTCACACCCTCCATCTACCCCTTCCATCACAGGTCTCTTATCTACAGAGAGATATGGCAACAACTTACACCTCCCCACTGGGTACTCATGCAGCATGGCCAGTGGAATACTTTTGCAATCCCAATCTACCTGCATCCTCTCCCTGCATACAACCTCCTATAGCTCTCTACTGCTCTCTCACAACAAAGGCTTCAGTGAGAAAGCAACTATCATTCTCTGCCCACTTTGCAACAGGCTTTTCAAGCATGAACACAACGCCCCCACTGGAATCTGGTTAAAGTAGAGCTTCTCCATCAGTGAGTCTGGGTTAGGTCCGAGTCTGCATTTCCAACAAGGTTCCTGTGCTGCTGCTACAGCTGTTGCTGCTGCTACTACACTGAGAACCACACTTTGAATAGCAGGCATCCTGGGAGAACAGATGGTCAAAAGGTTGGAGGTTCAAGTCTGCCTAGAATTGTCTTAGAAAAAAGACCTGGTCATCTACTTCCAATAAACAAAACAACCAAATCCACTGCCTTCGAGTCTATTCCAACTCACTGCCACCCTCTAGGGTTTCTGAGGCTATAAATCCTTATGGACAAAGACTGTCTCATCTTTCTTCCTTAGAGTGGCTGGTGGGTTCAACCCCCTGAATGCTTAAACCACTATGCCAGAAAAATTAGCTAGAAAACTCTATGGAGACTTCCAGGGCAGAAAAGCCAAGTAAGTAAAGCCCTAGGCAGACCCTTGCAACAAAGGCATGGAAGCTAAGTAAACAGATACAGATGGTGATCTTGGAGCTCTGAGCTTCAGAAGATAGGACAAAGAGGTGGATTTAGCGCCAGCTGGAAGAGGAAGCAGAACAGGAACAGCAAGAAAGAAGGAAAGCGGGTGGACTGGGGGCTGGCGTGCAGTGGCATGGTCATCCTAAGCTCTTGCAAGTGGTTGTAGCTAAAGCAGCCTGCCAGTACAGGCCACCGCTAGAGGTTGGTGGCAAGGGAGTGTGGTTCTTCCTTATTCCCATACCCTCCTGGCAGTCAGAGGGGTGGCCAATTCCCACCCTGAACAACCCAGCAACCAGTCACACCCCCTTCCTGTGTAGCATCTGCTCTACCTAGGGTTGGGTACTGGGCACACCATCCCTGCTTCGGAAAGGCATGAACTACACTGCATAAGCAACTAACAGAGAACTGAATGACACATTTCCAGTCTCTCTCACATCAACCAGGAGACAGGTGGTGAGTGCTGGAGAACTTAACAACATACGATCATCAATTAAATATAAATAATGTTTTGGAGAAATTAGACCGAGATTTCAACATTTCAACTTACATGACCAAATAAAACAGAGTGCCTCAAACAAGTGACCAAAGTACAGATTCAGAAAATTTAATACCAGAAATGGTATCACGACAACTTGATAAGGAATGTAAAAGAATTATATTTAGGTACTGTCAACAGTGAGAAAACTGCAGATGAAATGAAAGATAACATAGACAAAATTATAGAAGAATTCAGGAAACAAACTGACAAAATAAATGAAAAATGGGAAACCATACAAAAACAGCAATTAGGAAGTCATGAGATTAATACTGTTGTTGGGTGCCATCAAGTCGGTACTGACCCATAGCGACTTTATGCACAGCAGAACGAAACACTACCCAATCCTGGGCCAACCTCACTAATGTTGCCACGCTTGAGTCCATCAATGCTGCCACTTGGCCAATCCATCTCATTGGAAGTCTTCCTCTTTTTCTCTGACCCTCCACCTTCCCAAACATGATATCCTTCCCCAGTGAAAGTCCTTCCTGACTATACATCCGAAGTATGAAAGATGAAGTTTGGCCATCTTGGCCTCCAAGGAACACTCTGGCTGTACTTCTTCCAAAACAGATCTATTGGTTCTTTTGGCAGCCCATGGTACTTTCAATATTCTCCTCCAACACCATAACTCAAAAGCATCAATCATAATTTAAAAGCATCAATTCTTCTACTGTCTTCCTTAATAGCTGTCCAGCATTCACAAGCATATGAGGTTATTGAAAATACCACGGCTTGGGTCAGGTGCACCTTAGTCCTCAAGCTGACATCTTTGCTCTTCAATACTTTAAAAAGGTTTTGTGCAGCAGATTTGACTAATGCAACTCGTCATTTGATTTCTTGACTGCTGCTTCCGTGAGTGTTGATAGTTGATCCAAGAAGAATGAAGTCCTTGACAACTTCAATCTTTTCTCCATTGATAAGAATGTTGTTTATTGGTCCAGTGGTGAGGATTTATGTTTACTTTACATTGAGATGTAATCCATACCGAAGGCTGTACTCTTTGGTCTTCATCAGTAAATGTTGTAAGCCCTCTTCACTTTCAGCAAGCAAGGTTGTATCATCTGCATATCACAAGTTGTTAATGAGCCTTCCTCCAATCCTGATGCCATGTTTTTCTTCATATAACCCAGCTTCTTGGATTATTTGCTCAGCACACAGGTTGAATAGTATGATGAAAGAATACAACCTTGTCACACACCTTTCTTAATTTTAAAACATTCAGTGTTCCCATGTTCTGTTTGAACAACTGCTTCTTGGTCCAGGTACAGAATTCTCATGAGCACAATTAAGTGTTCCGGAATACTCATACTTCACAATGTTGTCCATAGCTTGTCATTATCCACACAATTAAAAGCCTTTGCATAATCAATAAAGCACAGGTAAACATCTTTCTGATATTCTCTGCTTTCAACCAAGATCCATCGGACATCAGCAATGATATCCCTCGTTCCATGGTGTCTTCTGAATCCAGCTTGAACCTCTGGAAGTTCTCTATCAATGTATGATTGTAGCAGTTTCTGTATTACCTTTAGCAAAACTTTACTCGCATGGGATATCAAAGAAATTGTCCGATGATTTCCGCATTCCATTGGATCACCTCTCTTTGAAATGGGCACAAATACGGATCTCTTCCAATCAGTCAGCCAGATAGTTATCTTCCAAATTTCTTGGCAGAGATGAGTGAGTGCCTCCTGTGCTGCCTTACTTTCTTGAAAGATTTCAATTTTTATTCCATCAATTCCTGATGCCTTGTTCTTTGCCAATTCCTTCAATGCACCTTGAACTTCCTCCTGCAGTCAGTATCAAAGATTAATATTAAGACTTCAAAAATATATTGAAAGGGCAGAAGTAGAATTGACTCCATGGACGCCAAATGACTGATTTTGAAGATAGTCTCTCAATATGAATATGCTAGAGGAACAATTAGAAAATAATACTTTAAAAATTCAAAGAAAGCAAAAGATGTATGTGGGACACTATTAAGAAGAATATATGTGATTGGAGTTCCAGAACACGAAGAGAAAAAAACAAACAAACAAAAACTACAGAGAAAACTGTCCAACAAATGTTGGGGAAAAAAAACTACTTCCTAACATCAAGAATAAGGAGCTCTTCTAGCGTAATGGTTACGAATAGGGCTGTAAACCTTAAGGTCAGCAGTTCGAAACTACCAGCTGTTCCGCGGGAGAAGGATGAGGCTTTCTGCGCCCAGACAGATTTACAGCCTCGGAAACCCTATATAGTGTTGCTATGAGTCGGAACCGACTCCACCACCACCAACATCATAAATGATGAGAAAATAGACATTCAAGAAGCCGAATGAACTCCAAAAGAAAACCACCAAAACATTAGATAATCAAAATTATATTTTCAAAGGCAAGCTTCTTCTCCGAGAAAACACCAAATGGCTGGTGACGCTGGTGCAGCAGGAGGGCCTGGAGGCGAGAACCCACGGTGGCTTCGGCAGTTGTCAGTGCGTCATGGCCGTGGTCAGCTGCTCACGGAGGCAAAGCCAAGGACAAAGTGTGGCTCCCTGTCACCAAGCTGGGTTATCTCATCAAGGACATGAAAATCAAGTCCCTGGAGGAAATTTACCTTTTCTCCTTGCCCATCAAGGAGTCTGAAATCATTGACTTCTTTCTGGGAATGTCCCTCAAGGACGAGATTTTGAAGATCATGCCTGTGCAGAAACAGACGTGCCCTGGCCAGCTGGCCAGGTTCAAGGCATTTGTCCCCATTGGGGACTACAATGGCCATGTTGGCCTAGGCATCAAGTATTCCAAGGAGGTGGCCACAGTCATCCTCAGGGCCATCATCTTGGCCATGCTGTCCATCGTCCATGCGGCATGGCCACTACGACTCTGTCCTGGTGCATCTCATACCCACGTCCAGAGGTACTGGCATCATTTCAGCCCCTGTGTCCAAGAAGCTGCTGCTGATGGCTTATATGGATGATTGCTACACCTCAGCTAGGGGCTGCACTGCCACCATGAGCAACTTCGCCAAGGCCACGTTTGATGCCATCTCCAAGACCTACCAACTATCTCACCCCTGACCTCTGGAAAGAGACTATGTTCACAAAGTCTCCCAACTAGGAGTTCACTGATCACCTTGTAAAGTCTCCTTGCAGAGGACCGAGGTTCCAGCCGTGGCCACCACATAGTGGTTTTGATGAAAGAAAAATAAAAGTGAATTCAACCTGAACCCCCTTCCAAGACTAAGACTCAATGGGAATACACGCTGTGATTGGTGACCACGCTCGACACCGATAAGGGGAAGTGAGGGAAAAACAGCAATGAAGCGGTGAGCTAAGCCCTACAACGTTCAATAGACTTCTATGAACCCGGGTGAAGACCTGGTTGGCCAGCAGTGTGGCAAGACCTGGGGACTCTTGGGCCCAGAGTCAGTGACATAGCCACAGAGGACTAGAGTGGAGAGTGAAGCGTCCAGCTGATAAGAAGAGAGGGCATATGCATAAGAACACCCACACTTGCAGATAATACCCACTTATCCTGGCTTCAGTGACTGGATGATCAGAGCTCAACCAGAAGTAAAAAGAAGAGAGAAAGAAAAAAAAGTATTCTCATACAATTTGATGAACTTGACCTACACCTATGGAAGCAGTAGCTCAAAAGAGGGAACAAGTCCTTACAGCAAGAATCATTCCCACCCCCTCCACACACAGAGTAGACAGGGATGGGCAACTTGGACATTGGCTACCCAAAATGGGGGTGGGGGACTACAAAGGCAAGAAGTGACTGGCTTACAAGCTTTCAAGAGGGAACCTAGATCCAGAGGGCCTGGAGGAAGGTAGAATCTGCAGTAAGTAGTATTCAATCTGACTAGGCGGGGCTGATGCAATGAAATGCAGATGGGTCTCTTGTGATACAATAGTGATTAACTGTTATCAGGACTGATTGTGAGGGTCGGAAATGTAAAGGCAGACGTTTCACAGCAAGGAGAGGAGTGATTAACTTTTCAGTCTAGAAGCGGAAGTCCCTAGGACCATCAAGGGAGAAAAGCAGAGAGCAGGACCCTACCCAGAGAAGCAGTGATGTCTGAAATGGAGCCAAAGATGATGATGTGGAGCGATGGAGCAGCTGGAGACTTTAGATCCAGAGAGGGAGAGCGACTGTGTGCTGAAGACCTGGGGGTATGGGGAAGGATTGCATGGAGGGGATTATAACCATGGCAATGAGGCAATATACAATAGAATGAATGTAAAACTAATGTTCTCCCATGTAAACTATCACATAATTCACAATAAAACATTTAAGGAAAAAAAAAAAAGGGAATTCAGCCTGGAAAAAACAAACAACCAAAGGCAAGGAAAAACTCCTGAGAGCAGCTCAGGATAAACAAAAAGTTACCTACAAGGGAGAACTAATAAGACTAAGTTCTGATTTCTCAGCAGAAACCATGCAGGCAAGAAGACAATGGGATGACATATAAAACTCTGAAATAAAAAATAACTGCCAACCAAGAATTATATACTCAGCAAAAGTGTCCATCAAATATGACAGCAAAATCAGTATATTTTCAAATAAACATAGATTAAAAGAATTTGTAAACTCCAGACCAACCTTACAAAAAAATACTAAAGGGAGTTCCTTAACAGAGAACCAACTAGAGCAAACAACAACCTGAGATTAACATACATGAAAATATTGCCCAGAACTCAACCCAGATATGGAAGTATTCAAAGGAAAGCACGTCTACAAGACTGAAAATAGGAAACCAGAGCTACCAACTGCAACAACAGACAATAATAACAAAGTAAAAAGAGGGGATAACATAGTTACAGAACTTCTAAATAAAGAAGAAATCAAGTAGATTTCAAGAAAAATTTAAATAAATTAAAATAAACCTAGCTGTAACCCTAAAACTAGACCAAGCCTTTCTCCTATTTCTAGCCCAATCTCTACTCCTAACATTAACCCTAGTTCTAACCATAACCATAACACAAAACGCCTAGTCTAGACCTACCCATAGTCCTAACCTAACTCCTTACTCCTACTTCTGCACGCGCGCGCGCGCGCGCACACACACACACACACACACACACACACACACACCCTCCGTGGAGCATACTTCTAATCTAAAAAACGAAGTTTTTTTTATCTCCCTCAAAACACAGTAATCCTAGACAGCCTGGATTGTGCAAAAGGATTAATTACCCACAGTCAAGAATCACCTTGGGGCAGTGCCTCCCCTCTGGATAAACAAGGTGGCAATCTTGGCACTCTAAGGTTTGGTGGTTCTAAGATCTCATGTGTGATGGATAGTTTTCTAGAGATAGTTTTCAAGTTGTTCCCTAGCCTCACCTTCTGCCACAGGGCACGGGTACAGCTGTACCGCAGGGCTGTGTGCTGCCACGCCAGGTACTCATCCACACGGGCACGGGTCTGCAGGTCCTGGGGATACCAGTGGTCTGGGGTCTGGTACTTGCGACTCAGATACAGCAGGATGGCCACACTGGAGGATATGGCAAGCAATGAGGCCTAATCTTTCTCATGCAGAACAGCTGGCAGATTTGAATTGCTGACCTTTTGGTAAGCAGTCCAATGCCAAGCCCACAGTGCTAACCAGCACTCCTTCTCAACTCTCCAAGAGGATCAAAAATCACAACTGCCCCACAGGACTGGCAGGAACGGCAGTAGATCTAAAGCACCTGTTTTACAACCAAAACCCAAACCAGTTAACGTCAAGGCCTTTCTCCTGAGGGGTCTCTGAATGGACTTGAACCTCCAACCTTTTGGTTGGCAGCTTCACAATCACCACTTGACCACCCCAGTACTCCTGGTCCTGCCACTACTGTTACTTAGGGCTCCCCTTCCAGGCCTGGAGGCAGGCTGGGCCCTGTGATTGTGTTCAAGTCCCTGCCCCTCTCTGGGCCTCAGTTTCCCCAGGAATATACAGCAGGAATGTCCTGCCAACCTTGGGCACCTTTGCCCGCTCCCCACCTATGGCACAGGTGGTTGGGCATACCAGCCTTAATCCAAGCTGTCAACAGGAGACAGATGACCACTGGCCCACCAAACCAGGCAACAGCCCAGAGCCCTGGTTACCTCTCAGCCAAGGTAAAGTCCCCGTCCTTCAAGGCTGGCACCTGTCTCATGGGGTTCACCTGGGCGAAGGCATCGCTGTGGTGCTGGCCTGTGAGGAAGCCCAGTAAGGTGTGTGGGAGGAGAGCCCTGAGACCTCTGTGGCCTCTGACCAACTCCAACCAACACCCAAGCACCCACTTTCTGAGGGGCCTGTCCAGGTAGGTTATCAAGGAAGAGAAGGTAACTGTACAGGATCAAAATGTGATTGCACCAGAGGCCTACCCTTCTAAATCCCATGCACTCGGAGCTAGGCCAGGCAGGATTGCAATGCAGGACTGGCCTTTTCATCCCAGAAAGCTCTCTTAAGAGTGTGTGTGTGTGTGTGTGTGTGTGTGTGTGTGTGTGTGTGTGTGTGAGGGGTGGTGTCATACATAGTTAAAGGCTTCAGGAGCTCCGAGGTTGCAGTTGGGGAAGTACGGGGGTGGGGGGTGGGGGGGCGGAAGGAGGTAGTGGATGTTCTGTCCAATCCCAGGCACCTCTGCGGAAAGGATTAGCTGGGTGGAGGAGGCAGGACCCTATGCCATTCCATGTGTGTCAGACACCTTCCTTGGCCTCTAGGCTTGTCCTCTCCAGTCCATCAGCCATCCCAGGCCCTCCTGATCAGCCTGGGGGACTAGCCCACTACCCCACAACTCCAACCACACCTGCTGTCCACCCCTCTCCATTAGCAACCAGCAGCCATCCTTCCTGTGCCAAACGCTCAAGGCTTCTCCCAGAGGCCCTGACCTAGCCAACCCAAGGGAGGGTCCCTGGCCTGACTCACCTCTGCATAGCCCCAGTGCAGGTCAGGGATACACTACATGTCCCAGTTAATGTGTGTGAAGTCAGAACACCCAGCGGTCTCACTAAGGACAGGCTCTGCCCAGCCCCTGCCCCACCAAGGGCTGGGAAGGTCAGAGCAAGTAGCCTGGACTGGAACATCAGCGGTGAAAGGGCTCCACAAGCTGGATTTTCTCTGGATTTCCTGACCAATTACAGCCCTTCCCTCCTCCCGTTGTGTCTCCAGGCCAACCAGGCCAGTCACTCAGAGTGCCTGGCCCCACTGCCCCAACCAGGGGCTTCCAGAGGCCTCAGGGCCCTCAGCCTCCAGGGAGCCAGCAGCCCTTCCAACTGATAGGCTCCTCTGTGATCAACATGAAGCCAGAAACAAGGAAAAGAACAGCAAAAGAAAGACAGGCAAGAAGAAAAAATGTAAAGGGCCTAGACAGATAGGATCAAAGAGGAGGACATCCTCCCTCACCCCCCAGAAGGATGGTGATAAGGGGGCCCTTGTGTGCTTGGAACAACCCTCTCTTGCCCAGAGGTGGAGACACTAAAGACATGGGGCTCATATGCCAACAGGGAAATGAGGAGTCAACTTCATTCACTGCTGTCTCCATGTCGGAGTGTTGAGGGTACCCCAACCATAATCTCATTGCTTCCCTCCTGGCCTCCCACCCACTTGCTGCCTTCAACCTGCTGTGCTCCCTCTTAACCTGTATATATACACTTATTTTTTAAACTTTTTATTGTGAGTTGAGTGAAAGTTTACAGAGCAGATAAGTTTTCTATTCAACAATTCTGATCCATTTTGTTTCATGTCACACTGACTTCCATCCTCACAATGTGATCGTTTAGCCCACTTTCTCCCATTTCCCATTTCTCCTTCTTTCCTACACCTCCCTACCTTCTTTACTTTGTTCATGGGCAAATGCTGCCAAATGGTTGATGATTCTAAGGCGTGCCGTCGAGCCGGTTCCGACCCATAGCGACCCTGTATAGGGTTTTCCGAGAAGCCACTGTGAGATTGAACCACCGACCTTTAGGTTCAAACCGATTTTTCAGTCAAGCGGATTAACCCACAGCGCTACACCAGGACTCCAGGCAAGGGTTGATAAGTACCGAAGAGTCGGAAACGACTCATAGTGACCCTGCACAGGGTTTCCGAGGCTGCAAATCTTTACAGAAGTAGATAGCCTCATCCTTCTCCCGCGGAACAGCTGGGAGTTTCGAACTGCCGATCTTAAAGTTAGCAGCCCGATTCGTAACCACTATGCTACCAGAGCTCCTTGGCCCTTTTAAAATAACCACTGAAGAGCGGAAGCGGTCCGCTTGCACACGCGGGCCCACCTTTGAGCAGCTCCACTGTGCGCAGCTCGAAGGGGATACGGTTCCTCTTGGCGAAGATGTAAACGGCGCGACAGGGTTGGGACAGCAGGTCCAGAAAGAGCTCCAGACCCATGGCGGGCGTCGGAGGGTGACCACCGTTTAGCCGAAACAGCGGAGACACGAACTGCGCAGGAACTGCAACTCCACGGAACCACACCCACCCTCCCACCCCCGCGCACAGTTCTCCGCCCTGCTCTGGGCACGTTCCCCCCAGCCCATTGGCCGGTCCCCAGTACTTTGGGCCAATCGCAGCACTCACGACCCGCCTTGCCACTCCGGGGGCTGGGCTAGGGGGTCGCGGCCAGACCTGGGGGATCAGGGAGACCTGGACTCTATGATCTCAATACCAAGTCCTGACTCTTCTCCAGACTTCCGTGTCACCTCGGTCACATAGGGCAGAGGTCATGGTCATGGGTGTTAGGGTTATACCCCTTAACCAAGTATAGGAGTTCTGGTGTGGCACTGCAGGATAATGCGCTGGACTGCAGTCAGTTTGAACCACAAGGTCGGGGGTTCAAACTCACCAGCTGCTCCTCAGAAACACTATACAGGTCGCTATGAGTCGGAACCGACTCGACGGCAGTTAACAACAACAACCAGGTATAAATACACCTTAGACTGTGAGCACAGCAAGATGCTGCTGCTATGGTATGTTGGTATTCTTTTTCTCTTTTATACTATAATATTACTTATTATAGTATATAATATTATAGTACTACATACTATAGTATTACACCTGGTGTGGCGCTGTGGGTTGATGCGCCAGACTGTAAAGCCGTTTGAACTGAACTGCAAGGTTGGTGGTTCAAGCTCAGGAGCTGCTCCTCGGAAACCCTATACAGGGTCGCTATGGGTCGGTGTCGACTCAACGGCACTTAACAACGACAGCAATTACATATTATATACTATGACTTTCTAGTCTTCTGTAGCCCTACCCAATATCAGTGGGGAACAGTGCTGTGAGGTCGCTAAAAGCACCTCCAGAACAGATCTTCGAAGAACAAGGAGCTGCCTACCTTCTGCCTCAGTCAGTTCCCAACCAGAGAGGAAGGGTTTCAGGTTGCTCAGGGAAAACAAAGGGAGGAGGAGGCCCGCCAATGGAGGCGGGGAAGGGTGTCTGTGCATCCTCAGAGGTAACGCCCACAGCTTGGCAGGAGTGCACTGCCTCACCCCCATCCTTAGGATCATATTCCCTACACCCAGCTAATCACTCCCAAGAACCATACTAAAGCCTCGTGGGCCCAACAGGTGTGCTTGGGACTGGAGTCCTGGTGTGGCACTGTGGGTTAATGCACTGGACTGCAAGGTCGGCGGTTCAAACTCACCAGATGCTCCTCAGAAACCCTATATAGGGTCGCTATGAGTCGGAAGCGACTCTATGGCACTTAACAATAACAATGGCAATGCCCTTCACCAGGGCCAAATCCCCATAAATGCTATAGTGCTCCCACTCCCTAAGACAGCTTTCTGGAGTAAGAAGATCCTGTTCCCAAACCAAAGATTCAGAGGCAGCTACTTGACCAAATTGTTTACTGAGAAAGGTGAAACCAGCTTTGCAACCCTCACTTCCTGCATGCTTCTCACTTAAGGCTTAGTCTCCATTTCTTCAGTGGTCTTTGTCCAAATGTCTGCAATATCAAACCTCCCTTCCTCTTTGGATGCCCTCCCAGCCAACCTTGGCTAGCAGCCAAGACATTATTTCAAAAATGCAACCTAAGCATACCATCACTGCTTCCAGCTTCCAACCAGGAGCATTCAAGGCCTTGCATGACAAGAGACCAAATCCTTAGCACACATGCTGAACTCTTGAGTGAGGAGAGTCCTTCATGCCAAAGAGCCATGTCCTGGAGGCCAGCTCAGCCAACTGATGACCACCGCACTTACAGCTTACCCTATGGATGCCGGCAAACTCCAGTGTGGCTGATAGGTCACTTTTACCAAATGACTAAAAGGCCATGTTCACTCGAGGCTATCTTCAGGGGAAAGTCAACCCACAGTGCCTAAGGAAAGGATGTGCCTTTTGAATAGAGACCAAGACCTGGGACCAGGCAGGAAGACCATCAAATAAATTACACAATGGAGTGAGACAGTCACAAACTCAGGTTTATTACCAGAACTTACAGAGCAGTAATGAAAGGAGCTGGGCTCTAGCTATGTGTTGTGGCTTCTTTTTTTAAGCAGCAGTGGGAGAGGTGGGGGTGGGGGAGCACCCAGGTAAGAAGCCAGGTGCTCACTGGAAGTGTTGCACCAATGGCTAAGAGCTGAGCTCACTGGATCATGCTCAGTACCCTAGGCATCAGCTTCTGCTTTGAGGTGGGGTCCGCAGGTGGTGTGTCCTTGACCTTCAGGATGACTTCATGGGCCTCATTAAAGAGATCCTCCCCCACCGCTGCCTCTATACGTTGGCGCCACGCAGCCAGCCTGGGTCGGCCTTCGAAGACCTGGTAGCCAGTGCCCACAGGCTGTAGGGAGAGGGGTGGTAGAAGAGGCCATGGGCAGCCAGCATCTGCCTGGCCTTGGGAATACAGAGTTCTAGAAGGGGTCTCCATGCAACAGTACAATCCTACAGCAGGCAGGGGAAGCAAGAGCAAGCCTTCAGTGATCATCTTGGATCTCCACTCTGCCCACAGCACTCACATGCATCAGCTCTGTGATGGCCATCAGGTCAGCCAGGGAGATGTGGGGCCCAGTGAGGAAGGGCTTGTCCTGCAAGAACTTGTCCTCGAGCAGCTGCAGGGTTACCTCCAACTCAGCCAGTGTGGCCGCCAGTGTCTCAGGGGGCACCGGCTCACTCAAGAAGATAGGGATCATCACCTAGCGGGTGGGCAGACAAAGAAGGAATTGGTGAGCCAGCCCAGCCTTGGAGGCAGGAAGGTAAGACCCCTTAAAAGCTACTCCTAGTTCCATGCACCTGTCTTCCAACACTTAAGAATCAACACTCAATCCCAAAGGGTGGTCACAACAACAAAGAAATTGTTTGATTTTTGTTCTCTACTACCGCTTTTTCACATTAAAAAAAAAAAAAAAAAGGCAAGATGGCAGATTAGGCAAACACACTTCACTAACTTTTTAGTTTACAACAAAGATATGAGAGACTAAGTGAAACTGACTGATGAAAATCCTGAAACCATGAACTTCAGAGGAAAAGTTAGAGAAGTGGATTGAGTGCTTGCTGGGAGGAGAATCTGAGCAGAACAGACAGAGGAGACTGACTGGTGAACACCCAATCAGACGTGGAACATCTTGAAGTTTGTGAGCAGTTTTGGTGACAGAAGATGGCCTGGTAGAGCAGATTCACACAGGTGATAGAAAAGGTGTGATCCCTTCTTTTTTCCCATGCTCCCCTGGTGACCAGAGTTGTGGCCAGCTCCCATACTCATCCACCCACAATATCAGCCCTGCTCTCCAGGAGTTGGAAGCCACATGGTTGGGAGCCATATCAGTGTGAAGCAGGGGCCTTCTATGCCACTTTGGTACTTGGATTCAGGCAGGCTCAGCTCCAAACCTACAGAACTCACAAAGTTACCAGATCAGCATTTTTTTTTCAGGTGCCATCGAGTCGGAACCGACTCATAGTGACCCCATGCACAGCAAAACGAAACAATGTCCAATCCTGGGCCAACCTCACTACCGCTGCCACACTTGAGTCCATCAATGCTGCCACCTGGCCAATCCATCTCCTTGGGGGTCTTCCTCTTTTTCTCTGACTCTGCATCTTACCAAGCACGATATCCTTCTTCAGCGACTGTTCCTTCCTGACAATATGTCCAAAGTATGAGAGATGAAGTTTAGCATCTTGGCCTCCAAGGAGCACTCTGGCTGCACTTTTTCCAAAACAGATCTATTGGTTCTTTTGGCAGTCCATGGCACTTTTAGTATTCTCTTCCAACACCACAATACAAAGGCATCAATTCTTCTACGATCTTCCTTATTCACTGTCCAGCTTTTGCATCCATATGAGGTTATTGAAAATACCATGGCTTGGGTCAGGCGTACCTTAGTCCTCAAGCTGACATCTTTGCTCTTCAACACTTAAAAAGTTCCTGGGCAGCAGATTTGCATAATGCAATACGTTGTCTGATCTTTTGACTGCTGCTTCAGTTTTTATTCCAACAATTCCTGGTGCCTTGTTCTTTGCCAGTTCCTTTCCTCCCTGAGTATCATTGGCTCTTCATATGCTACCTCTTGAAATGGTTGAACATCAACCATTTCCTTTTGGTACAGTGACTCTGCACATTCCTTCCATCTTCTCTTGATGCATTCTGCATCATTCAATAATTTGCCCAGAGAATCTTTCAATAACAAAAGTTAAGGCTTGAATTTTTTCTTCAGTTCCCCCAGCTTGAGAAATGCTGACTGTGTTCTTCCTTTTTGGTTTTCTAAGTCCAAATCATTGCATGTTTTATTATAGTTTTTGGCTTTATCTTCTCGAGCTGATCTTTGAAATTTTCTGTTCAGCTCTTGGACCTCCTCATTTCTTCCATTTGCTTTAGCATCTCTACGCTGGAGAGCAAGTTTCAGAGTCTCTTCTGACATCCATTTTGACCTTTTCCTTTCTTGTCTTATTAATGACTTTTTGCTCTCTTCACATATGATGTTCTTTTTTTTTTTTTTTTTTGGTTCTTTAAGAAAATTTATTTGTACCTCTAGAGCAGAAATAGGTAAGTCTGTGCAAACAATACTTTAGTGAAATGCATCCTCGTACCACACCCTTTTCAATATAGGCTTGTGGTTGCAACATTACTCCCGGATTTTCAAACTGCAGGCACTCTGGATACTTCTGCTACTCTGCTTTGGCCTTCATTGCTGCTTCCTCTCTCAGACGAGCTTTCTTTTCTAAATTCATGCTTGTTAACGACTCATTTCTTCTGACAGCCTTCTTTCTCTCAATCACCATGAAAATGCATCCTGCCACTGTCAGGGCGATCATTAGATAGCTGATCTTCACCCGGATCTTGTTCTTTGCAGCGGTGGGCAGACAAAGAAGGAATTGGTGAGCCAGCCCAGCCTTGGAGGCAGGAAGGTAAGACCCCTTAAAAGCTACTCCTAGTTCCATGCACCTGT